ATCTGACTTTGCTTTTTGACCTTGAAAAAGATAACAGATGAAACACAATCCTTCTTTTTTATTTTTCTTCATTGCAGTATTGTCAAAAGATAAATTAGGAAGCATTGTAAGTGGTCTATTTGAAAGACAGCAACAACCTCAATAGTAAAAAAAATTAATAAATATGGATGTAAGTCAATGAAATCTAAAATTTGATTTTATGATTTGTTTTCTTTTTTTAGTCAGGACGAACACCAACATTTGCAGGTGGTCTTAGATTAGCCACTGAAACTGCTATTGAAGAAAGTGGATTTCTTGGAACTGTAAGATACTTTTTTTATTTAATTTATTTCGTTGATTTATTTATATTATTTTAAGCATCGTGGGTTAGGAAACATTCGTTGGTATGAATATACATTTCTCACAATTGGTATATTAGCTGCACTTATTACGGATGGCTTAACGATTGCTCGTCTTGTCAATTTGGGTTCTTTGAATGATCCAGATTTTGCTTATGGTATTCTTATTCTTGTTCATTCAAGTAGGAATTTGATTTAAAGAAAAAAAAATTATAATAAAATTTGTTTCTTTTTTTTCTTTTTCGTTAGTATTTCTTCTTCTATTTCTAATAACTGGTATTTTTTATCAACGTATTACGGATATTGTTGCCTTTTTTGTCAGTGCTGTTATGTTAACAGTTTATGTTATTGCACATTATTTTGCTCGAAGAAATGGACCCAACGATGGTCATACTACTCAAGGAAAAATTCGTCTAGTAAATAAAACTTAATTTCTTTAAAAGAAACATACGATTGAGTTGTTTTGTTTTTCTAGGCTCGACTTATATTTACAACTGTTTTTAACGTATGTTTTATTCCACTTACAATTCTAGTTATTAGAGATTATCGACGAGATGAATTCTCAAAACGGTATGTTTGTTTTTGTGCATGAAGACAATGTTTAATTGATATGCTTTCTTTTATTTTAATAGACTATTTGGTGCTTTTCCTGCAGCACGTCTTCCACTTAAAATATATAGCATATTTGATTGTGTAGCACGTGTCAGTACAATGCTTTCGGTAGATAATTTATTTGATTTTTCTAATCAAATTTATGCTAAGTTTTATTTAATAAGATCTCAACTTTACTACTCAATTTATATAATTATACTGGTTATGAAACAGTAGATCGAGTCTTACTTATTATTGGTATTCCTTTAACACTATTATGGTTAGGCATGGGTATTGGTATGGTAAGATTTAAAAAAAAATATACATAATTATCAAAAAAACAATGTCCTTCATTATTTGTTTTATCTAGGTTCGTCTAGAAAATTATATATTAGTTTGTATTTTTTATTTACTTTCACTTTTTCAATTGGGTTTCTTGGGTTATAGTCTTTATACAGTATGTTTTGTTTAATTTTTTATATTTATTTTTCTATTTAAATATTAATCATATTAGGCAATTCAACATTCGATAGACATATCTCGAGGATCGACGACATCATCAACAACAACGATATCATCAACAACAACGACATCATCAACAATAACAACACAAGCAACAATGATTAATTTAGTACCTATACTTCAAGTACTTTATGTATGTATATCATTTAATCTTCTTGCGCATATATTAGCAATGATGCTTGGATTTTGGTGTACAAGAAATTTTAATAAAGGTCTTAAAGAAAGAGTATTTAATAACAAAATTGATAAATGGATTCAACAACGTTGGTCAAATAAATAGATTATTGATCGAAGAAAAATTTAAAAATAAAAAGAACAATAATTGTTATTTTTTCGTTTATGATGTTTTAATTTTTATTTGTAAGAAATAAAGTTCATGATAATTATATTTATTAACAATTATCAATTTGTCTTTGAATAATTTCAAAATCATAAACTAAAACAACTATGGCTGATAGACATACGTGCATTGTAAATCTTTCATAGTGTTTTTTTTTTATTCTTCATATTAATATTGCTTGATACGCTATTCACGATTAAATACTTAATGTCTATTCTCGCTAAACAACTAGAATAAGTACATATGATGGTATTTGATAATCTTATTTCTTTTCTTTTTATAAATTTTTCTACAAGTGTGTTCCGTAAGAGTAAGCCTAAAGAAACGAATGAAAAATACTCACTGTTTATTGTGATGCTACGATTTCAAATTTAGGTTGAAATTTAAATTTTTTTAGTTTTGATGTGTTTTTTGCTCTTTTCTATTTTTTTTTTGTCTGAAATGAAAGATCTTTATTGTGCATCATGACTATAGTCAAACAGACAGCATGACCTGCTACAGTTAACAATATTTGGAAATTCCAAAGTTATTAACAAATTGAAGTCATAACTCATTTTATACATCCATGACATTTGTCTTATCTTGATTTTTTTTTCTATAACGCTGACATATTTCTTATAATTATTTTTCTTGTCTGAATACTTACCTATACATAGTAGCTATCGTTTGTCAATATCGGTTTCATTAATTATTCTTATTTGTATATTATCAAAGAAATGGAGATTGATTTACAAACTAAATGTTCACTAACGATGGTTTTGAGCATGATGATGATCAGATGAGATAAGTAGAAAAAGAAGTATACTTACTCATAGATACTGGGACAGCTAATTACCTATTATCTTTTGCCAAAGGAGTCTATAGATCTGTAGATTTTGGGTTTATGTGAGTTCAGTTTATTTGTGATATCTCGATTATAATGACAAATTGAAGAAAAAGAAAAGAATAGAAGATACAATGAAGAGCGTTAAAGAGAACAAGAAAACGAATGGACTATCTGACGACACATAATAGAACGAACACGCGTATATATATACGAACAGATTGGGAAAATTCTCTATACGACCTAAAATAACACAGTGGAAAAATTTCTACGTATCATGTTGGAAAAATCCTAGATGAGAAAATGTGGATATTTTCAACACTTGTGAATGTTCTTGAACTCACTACCTGAACAAGATCATAGTAAGAATGCAAAAAGCTTTTATTAAACACAAATATTGAAAGTAGCACTTCTGAACATGTTGATTTGAGTGCTAGAAAGACATGGCAGATATTACTTTTCTGAATAAATCTGTTGTCATCGATGTCAAATATATAAATTTGAAAAGTTCATGTCATATTTGTTACAGACATATTTTCTTTCAACTTTGTTATATACACTGTTCCATGATCTGTGAGTCGTATTATATCATCATATGGTGTATAGTATTCTCTAGTAAACATCTAAGTAGAAGGGTAAGCGTTCGTGTCTTGAAAGAGCGAGAATGTATCTCATACTGGATTTTCTAGCGGGTTTTTAATTCACCAAAGTGTTTATATTTTTCTGCTTATTATTTTATTTAAGACTGTAATACGGTCCTCGTTCTTAGGAACAGAACGCGAAGCTAACATCTCTAATCCAAGACTGATGGTCAAATAATAGAAAAAAATTGTTTTAGGAGAAGTAATTAAATTAAACATTTTAGGAGAAATAGATTAGTAACAGAAGCTAGCTTAGAGTAAGATATGTTTTGTGAAACATAACCAAAAAAGAGGGGTTGAAGAATAGAGCTACAAATTCAGACTTTTCGCCACAGACGTGACTGACATCTTAGCAATGAGCCCATCATAGACTGCACATCAATAGCGTTTCGTTATAATATATAAACTACTTCGTTATTGTATTTCGGAAAGATTAAGTGAAAGAATGCCGAAGGAATGTCTACCAGAATCGATTGAATAAAACAGCTTCTTTGTAACGAGCCTCATCGTATTTTATATTTTCATCTCGCCGAGATTGAGCTAACAGGTTTTTTTTGTAATTTTTGATTCTATAAAAAAAAATATGAAATTATCAATCATATTCTATGTCTATTTATTTCAATTCATTTTTGAAAAAAAAACAATTAGATCAAACTATAACAGATGAATAAAGGAAATTTGTATGCTTCAATATCCGTTGAACTTGTGCATCTTCTTTTGGTGAAATAATATGATTTATTTTGATTTCAAATACTTGTTTGAACAACATCAATATTCATCAGAACAACCGAAATTAAAATGATAGCCTGAGAACTTATTTTTCATAAATGACATGATTTTTTTATTTGCTACTTCACTTTTTTTAGTCAAACTGTTTGATGATTTTCGTCATGCTTTGTTTGAAAGTATGCTTCCGTAAGAAAAAGCATAACATATATATGAATGATGAAGGCCCACAGAGAACGTTCGGTTGCCACATGAACTATTTTTAACTCTTGCTTGTTGAATATCTCTCGAAAATGTTACAATATAAGACTGAAAATTTTAGAAGAGTCTTTCCATTACAGCCCCAACATATGTTGAAAATTTGATGAGATTTGTATGTACAAAACTCAAGATCAATTTTTGAGGGGAAGGGATGGCTTTAATATTCGAATAATCTTATTTGAATCACTTCAATAAATCTTCAATTTTTTATAAAAAAAAGTTCGTTCCAAGGTTAGTTGAGCCAAGTTATTTTTGTCATTTCTTTTTGTTTTGTGTTTACTCTTATCAAGAACGTTAAGAAAAAGTTTTTGGTGACATAATATCTTATTTCTGACTTTTATGCATGAAAACACAATAAGAACAAGCCTATATAAAATAAAATGACACAAACTACAATAGGCTTATCAACAAAATAAGGGCATTAAAATCTTCAATTGATCCTTATGTATTAGGAACGCATATGATTTTTTTTCTTTATGCAGAAAATCCATCGATTTCTTCTGAATTTGATTTTGATGTTGAATTATGAACTTTTGCTTTTTCGAATGAAAGATACAAGTCAGTGTCACTTAACTTTCGAGTCCTAGTCATGACTCAGACTTGCCCAGCCCTGATTCATTTATTGTTTAGTTAATTCACATGAGTCAATAAACATACATGTATATTTGCATCACAATTTATTTGTCAATTCAAATTATTTCTCTGAAAAAAAAATAATTATAATTTTCTTGACTTTTTGCTATTATAAAAGTCTCAATTTAAGGACAGTATGATGATGGACCATTTACATCAATTTCTTCAATATGTGTACCATTATTACACCAACATCCGATTGGATTATTTGGATTACGACTTGGATATGGTCTGCCATTAGGTCCACATCTAGTTGCAGCAGCTGGAACGTCTGTAGCGAGTAATCCTAATTAAAAAAATTAAATTTATATGTAATTCTTTCTTCTTATATTAAATGTTACCATTACAATCGCCCGAACTAATATATCCCTTCTTACATTGACAAACGTAAAAGATTGGTCTGCCACCAGGAGTTGTTACAATACCATCAGTTTCTACACAAATACCATCTGTTCCACAATCTTTGATTGGACAAACTATAAGTGAATATACAAATCTAATAAAATCAATATCATAAAAACGAAATGATTTACTTGATGAAAATGGACATGGTTCATTGCTAACCGAACCTCCTTCACATACACATACATAACCACGAACAGACTGATAATTCGGTTTACAATATCCACCACCACAACGAGGAGCTTCTCGACATACATCTAAATTAAAAAAGAAAGCTGTTAGTACAAATCTTGTTGGATTAAAATGTGAAACACAATGTTCCTAATCATAGCAGAGTTCATCTATTCTGTCTATTTTAGAACACATTTCTTTATCATCCTTCTTCAGAACTGCAATAAGCAACTAATTCATAAATTAGAACGAAACTTTATTAATATACAATCGTTGACCGTATATCAGCAACGTCTATCTCGGTTTGTGATGATTTTTGCTAGCCTCAACAATAGTCGTTGGCTACCGTCTGTTACAATCTGTTGGAGTTCTAAATTTTTACCCGTATATTTCAAGACTTCTCCTATTAGATCATGTTTCACAAAAATCATTAATTTTAACATTAGTTCTATAACATTAGTTAACATACCTCGCGGTTTTTCACATGATTCTCCTGTACGATCTATGGGACATGAACATATAGCTTCATACGTGGCATTGGGACTTTTTGTGCATACACCTACACCACAAGTTTTATTAAGACATGGGTCTAAACAACAATTAAAAAAGACAACATTTAGTATTTTTCTAAAGTAAATTACATGCTTACCTTCACAAGGTGAACCATCAAGATGTAATCCATCATTACAGTAACATATTGCAGTACCTCGAATATCACGACATTCACCAAAAGCTCCACATGATTTTCCTTGGCATGGATCTAAAACAAATTTTATACTAAAAATCGAAAAGGAATCTCATGAAAAATTGTCTACCAGGTACAGGAGTTTCACATCGTTGACCAGTAAAATATGGTGGACATTTGCAGAAATATACGGTTTCATTGAATGCTTCACAAATGCCATTATTTACACATGGATTAGTATGACAAGCAGCTTGAAAAATAAATCAATGAAGAAGACCAAATTATTCTTTTGAAAATATTAACTTACAAAATTTTTCACATTTAGTACCAGTAAAACGGGAAGAACATTGACAAATGAAAGCGCCTACACCTTTATTACTGCATGTTCCGCCATTTTGACATGGATTTATTGCATAACAACCACCTATACAATAAATATATTCATTTTAAAAGAAATCTTTGTCTTTTCATCACAAAAATAATCTTACTTTCTTCACATTTAGTTAATTCGGTAATTGTTTTACCAAATGTACTTGGATGATTACCACAATTACATGAATAAAATGGTGGTGTCAGTGATTGTTGACATTTTCCTTCACCACAAACACCTGGTGATTCTTCACAGAGTGGTCCTGAAAATATATTCATGATTACTTTTTAGGCAAAAAAAAAATATATGATCAAAATAAATATACTTTTAAGAGATTTTATACAAGTTTGACCTGCATAACCTCCTGTACATTCACAGAAATATCCATTGTTAATAATTCGACATGTAGCATTATGTTTACAGACTGGATTTTCAGTATCTTTCTCATAACATGGACCTTAACAAGATAAAAATTTTAGATAAACAGAAAAATGAAAATTATTTTTTTAAGAGTAAATTACTAACTTAATGGACATGAATCATTCTGTCTTGGATCACGTCGTGTACCATCATAACATTGACAATAAACAGGTATATCATGATCATTTGTTTCAATACATTCAGCATTTAAACAAATTATATTTGGATCAGAACACTCTATAGTAAAAACAAATCAATGATAAGACTCTTGAATTAATTTTCAATATTTCTTTTTTTACTTGGTAATGTTTCATTACATAATGGACCGCCAAAACCTTGAGTACAATTGCATTTATAATTAGTCAAACCTTCACTAACACATGTAGCTCCATTTTTACATGAATGATTACTGCAAGGATCCAGATTTTCTATTCAAAATCGATGAATATTAATTTATTATTTTTTTATTTTATTTGTATTCCTACCGATTGGACATTTTGTGAATATATTAGCAGTAATAATTACATCGCCATTAGTGAGTTCACAATAACATCCTAAACGATTTTGATCTACAGCACATATTTCACATTCATGATTGACATTCAATGGACAACCAGTATCTTCATCAATATTAGCTAGTAAGAAAAAAATATTCATGATAAAAATCGAATTTATGTTCTATAAAATCTTACTAAATTGAGCATTGCATATGGTTTGTATAAGTGTACTAGCAAAGATACTTAAAATAAGCAGCACCAATCGTGTATTAGACATTCTAATAGCGGAATATCAATCGAAACAAGCAAAGCGAACTAGATTCTTTTAGTTCCTCTATATATATACACATATATGATAAATCTTCTGATACTATACAAATATTTCTAGACAAGGATTTTATTCTTTGTAAATACAAGGATTTATTGTATAATGATGATACAGCTAATATTTTATTAGAATAAGGATTAATCGATATTTTAACGGTATATTGACACCAATACACCTCTGTAAAAATTGCTTGGCACAAACAAAAAATTAGTCAAATAATATCAACTTTCAGCCTGACCTTAACTACATCAGATTATTTATCTTCATTAAAGTACAAAAATTTGAATATTTTCGTTTTTTTTTAAATGCTATATTTCATTTTTTTTTCCATACGTGATGGAATAAGAAAATAAGATCTGACAATATGATTATTTGTGTCATGACAAAACATTATTCTTTCATAAGTAATTTTATCCAAAGTATTGATATCGAAAAGCAAACCGAAATGAAATGTACTCCGTTAATAACTACTAATAATCAACATCATAAAACTCTAATACAGGAAAAATCGTGAATTTTAGTTTTGACGCAAGTGAAAGCAATGAATTTCAGACACCCAAATGAATGTACCATGTTATCAATATGTCACAAATATTTTTCAATATTTGTGTACTTTTGGGCATCTGATAAATGCTTACGTATTTGAAAATAAGATACATCTAACTGCTTAATTAGCTAACTTATGAAAAAATATTCAACGCAGGATGCTCGATAAGTACTAAAGACTGAATTAAGTATCTTACGAGCATTCTCAATTATTTATTCCATGTATTGAAACAATTTTTTGCAGGTTATCCGCTTAAGTGCTCGTAACAGATTACTAATAAAATACTTTTTCGAATGCTCTGTTGAAATAATATCAATAAATCGATGTTTTTTAAAAGAAATATGAAGATATTGATATAGGAAAGAATTGATTTATTATTCTTCTGCTGGATGAATAAATATAGACAGATAGTTATAACTATCATATACTTTGATAAGTAGAATAAGCAGTTGTTTTTGATTGATTCAATTGAAGCGGGCGAACCTTTTATGATGTACTCTATTGTGTAATCGACATATGGTTGTCGTTCAACCATAAGTGTCATCTTAAGGATATATTGCGTGTTATTTAAAATTCACTACAATTATATATAAAGGCTTCAAGAAGCTTAAATCAAACATTAACAGTAACAAAAGAAAAATGAATGATGATTCAATGAACAGATAGAAATATCATCATTATGCATTTTTATTGTTTTTTCTTTACCAAAAAAGAGTTTTCAATTTTAAATATATATTCATTAGATATCGTGTCAATTATACTAATTGTGTTTATTTTGAACTACCAAAGTCCATTTTATTCTTTCATATACGTATATACATATATACATGAGCAAAAAAATAAATTTGTCTACACAGTGTTCGTTACTAAGCGCAAATAATCTGTTCTCTTTTTCTTGTGTAAAATAAATCACATGAAGTAGATGATGAGTGATCGACTCTCTTTAGTATATGGTATTACATAAAATGAAGAAAAAAGAAAAGAGAGACATTAGTGGCAGGTGGAACAAACAGACATAAACGTGTGTTCGCATTTGGCTTTTTTGTACAAGACTTATGTAACAATGTTATGGTATACTTGTATTGTAAAAGAGAAGCATCATTCAACAAACAATGAAGCATATTGTTCGAATAACTAGTGTATGAATAATAACTAACCAATATACAGGTATGTAAACAATTAGATTTTTCTTAAGGCAAAAAAAAACAAACACATTTTATCATAGATATATGTTTTTTTTTTTAAGAATCGTCTTTTGTTAAACCACGACATAGGCATTGTAATCTATACTGCATAAAAGATCAAATAAAAATTAATTCATCTATTCTTTACATATTTCATATGTTAAAATAACCTAGTGGTTTTATTTTTTTGTTTTATTAAGAAGGTTAAATCTTGAATATCTTCTTCTATCGATAGTCATGTATACTCGTCTTTGTTTATTTTATTGTTATATTTGACTAGTCTCAATATTTGATATTGTGATTGCAATGCTGATGATAAGAAGCATATCATGTTAGCGACTACCATATTCAATGTTTGGATTCTTCCATCTTTTCTTTTCTCTTGAAACGAGACGTGTACTATTGAATAAAGTTGAGTGTTCAGTACCGGTATAATCGTATACGTGCGCTAAGTAGTAGAACAGAAGTACAGGTATTGAGTGCATGCATTATTTTCCTTTTAGATATGCTTGTGCCTTTGCACAATAAGGTTGAAGCAGCAAAAGAAAAAGAGAAGACTGATTGATACAATAGACGTGAAATGATTAAACATTAAGTTCGATAGAACATAGACGAAAGGCAACCATTAATATTTTAACAATTATACGTATTACTATACAATATTTCGATAAGTAGAAATAGATGAATGCTAAGTTTATCGATAATTATAAGTGCAAGAGTTTAACATTGAACTTCTTTATCGATTTCCTCCTACTCATGTATTGCCTGCTTGTCATTTCTTATAAAGACTCATCACATTCATTTGTGATTTTTCGAATGTGATTGATATGGAAATACTAATCGTACATTCATATTAAAAACTAAGGTAGGATAAACAATAGATCACTAAATAATCGAAAAAGAACTTCATCAAGTATTGTATTTATATTTCTTTTCTTTTGTCTTACAATTAGTTAATAAACAGAATATATGAAATTTGTTATTTCATTATAATATAGCTACAAGATGGATGAAAAAAAAAGGTGATAATAGAACATTAGTTTTTATAAATTTACGCCAACACTTTGGTTCAATTAAATTAAATATGAACAATCGAAAAAAGATTGATCAATCTTTTGTAACATCAATCGAGGCGACTATATAAAACATATTTCTCTTTCTATTCTCTTGTCTGCAATTATCACATCACGCATCATGACCAAAAACTTGATGGTAACTGTTGATCAATCAGTCAGACCAAATGTATATACGCATACGTATGAGTAGTATCCTTTTTTTTCCAGTTGTCTACAATGTAACTAGAAAAATGCTCCTGTTACTCAATTAAAAGACAAGAATATATCTATTTAGTAACAAATAATAGAGAACTTTTAACTAGAAGAAAAGAATCAAAATATTTTATTTATTTTAGATGACTACTGATCATATTTGTTCATGTGAACTTATATTAAAAGTTGGTTGTAATGAATATGATGAAATTTCAACAGCTATAACCAGTCTTCTACGTTCATGTTCAATAACTGATCAAAATTTTTTTTCTCTTGAACGTCAAATTCAACCAACAACATATTTTGGTTCATTTACAACACATTCATTAACATCAAAAATTCCAATTCAATGTCAATCATTAAGTTGTGTTATTTTTTTAACTCATGATATTCTTAAAAAAACTGAAAAAAAAGATTTTTTTAAATCTATACATATATGGAATTTTCATCATAAAATTGAATTATTAGATGAATATAAACAAATCATAGCAAGACAAGATTATTATGAATTATCTCATTTATTACCATTATGGTCAATATCACATATTCCATATAATCGACATATAATTATACGTTTTAATATATTTACGAAAAATTTTGATTTAATGTTAAAATTTTATAAACATTTATTTCAACGTAAACCTGATTCGAGTAAAACAGGTTTTGTACTTTTTAATTTATCTTCATCATCATCATCATCATCATCAATTAATAATAAATTACTTTATCAATTTTCAATTAAATATTCTCCATCAATTCAATCGTATACCATATCTCAAGGAGCTTATTTGAAATTTCGATTGAATAATTTAAATTATTTTATTCATGAATATACAAGTAAATTATTTACAATAAATAAATATGAATATTATATTTATGATCCAGATGGAAATCTTCTTCATTTATATTTACAGAATATATCATCAAATGCAAAAGAATGCATATCATTAAAATCATTAATGCATACAAATGATAGTGGTTTTGGTGATAGTAGTGATCCATCAATGCAATTATTTAATTCAAATATATCACAAATTTATCCAATATATAATGATATTGATAGTCAAAGTAATTCATCCAATGATTCTGCTCAATGTAGTTCATTATCATCAAATGAATTAAATACAACCATACCGACAGTTCATCATAAGCATATTCCTTCAAAGAACAATATATCAGTTCGATCAGCAAAAAAAAGTGAAATTGATTATCGATTAAAACATCAACAAAGAACAGGTTAGAAGTGATTTTATTATAATGTTTCATTTTGTATGTTGCCTCCGAAGGAGAGTTAGAAGACATTTCTTTTTGTTACTCATCATTACGAAATTCGTTTCGATTGAACCAGGTAATAGTATATCTCAAAATCCTACAAGACATCAATGCTAGTATAAATTAGTCACTGTTATCATTAGAGATGCCAGGATCAGTTAATTAGTAGCAATCTATCAGTTAAAAACTAAAACTGCTCCATATCTCGTCATTATAGTTTTTTGCAATAGAGTTCGTGAAGTTCACATAAAAAAAAAATAAATAAACTCAATTAATTTTATTATATGTATCAATTACAGTTTCAAACCAAGGCTTAGACTCAGCTAAGAGTCTCGATTTGAAAGGCATCTGGCAGGCTCTGATATGAAGTAATAAAGTATTGATCTTGAGAATATATTAGATTTGAGATTAACACTACAAAAACCTTGACTATTTGATTTTATGATAATATTTCTTTTTTTTTCTAGTACTACCTCATATTTCTCTAAAATATCCACAATGGAAACCATCGTTATACGTTAGTGAACCACGTTTATCAAATATAATAAGTTATAATAATCGATATTATTCATCCATGAATAATATTCAACAATCAAATAAAATTCATTCATTTTCAACTAATTATTTCAAATCACCAGTATCAAAAGGTACAAGTAATAATGATGATGATACTTCCTATGGAGTCGATTCTCCACGTATACAATCAGAAACATTAACAAATCCATCTACATATGGTTATCTTAATGCATTTCTGTTAAAAAAACAACAACAACAATCTATTGATTTACATCAATTCAAAGAAAACATTGCTCAACGTGAAAGGCATAATGTAATATCAATAAAATCACGACCAAAATCAGCACCATTAACCGATCAATTGTCATTTACATCATCGCTGTCAACCAAAATTCTTTTACAACAACCTATTCATAATATATCCACACCAATATCAAATAAATCTTCACAACTATGTTCGAAATCTTTAACATATGAATGGAAGAATTCAAATAATGATACGTCGAATACAGATGATGAAAAATTAAATAATACAATGAATCAAACACGAAGTCCACGCATTAATATTGGTATAACATTAGATTCTCGTTTGAGAAAAACTCCTGTACTTGATATGTTAAGAAGTACAACTATGCAATCGGATATCATCGAACCACAACGATTGAAGAGAACAAATTCATTTCGACATGGATTTATACCAATAGCACGATTTTAAAAATAGAATCTGTTTTTTTTTGTGTTTTATTGTTGTAAATAAATAAAAAAGAATGAAATTGAGAAAGTTTATGAAATTTGAAATATATGAAGCGATACTATTACTTTATTGATGATAAATTTGGTTTTTTATAACCCGATAAATTTCATCTCATTATCGTCATTACTATTAACTGTTTGTCAAACATACAAATATGGAAAAAGCTATCGGTTTGATACGTTGTTTTTTTTTATTTCAAGATGATCACAAAACGATTTTAGTGCTTCATTTTTTCTAGTATCGAATTCAGCGACTGAACATAATGCAACAAGAAAATAACTTGAAATGTTGGTCTTCTCAAGATAAAACGAAGTTATACAAGATCTATTTAGATGAATATCATTCCATATTGGATTTAATCGTTTGGATATTTTTTTATTATTAGCATTCTTTAGCCGTATGACCATGTCAGTCCTAAACGGATAATGGAGCTTAAGAACTGTAAACACAAATAGTGAACTGAAATGAAATATAATAAAAGGAATAGAAAAGAGAAAAAAAGAAAAATGAAACGAAGAAATAAAAAAGACAGAACAGTGAAGTGAAGCAAGAGCAACGAATACTGTATGACAAGAGAAAAACAACAATACAATAAATGTGGAGATATCATGATATCATTGTTTGAACTCATTCATGACAATAGTCTTGATTGATTTTGGTTGTTTAATTAAAATACAATAAAACCTCTAATAGTGAACATCTCTCCACTTTGAATATGAACACTGTGTTTACACTGCCAACCACTACCTTAACCACTTTTAGAAGAGCAGATGTGAATTTTTTTTGTTCTCTTTTTTTCCATTGATTCTAATAATGCACTAAAAACTGGCTATTTATTGCTTGTTGCAACTGTACATATTAGACGCACAATGATATATTGACAGCATCTTACATTACACAAAAAAAAGTTCAATAAAAAAAATAATCAGAATGGTGATCATTGTTCAACACAATGTAAATTAGCTGAAAATAAGAATATTTTATTTGATTCTTTATCGAATGTATTAATATGGAAACAAGAATATTTTTATGATTATTAAACAAATCAAAATCAAAATATTAAACAAAAATGCAAAAGTTTTGTAAACACAAACAATCCTAGAGGACGTTTTCAAAGAGAGTTAGGTTCTTTTGTATTTTTGGAAATTTTTTGGATTTAAATGAATATGAATGAAACAGTACGAAGAAAACAGAAAGTGATATCTGATTGCTTCAGAACCAGAAATGAAGTTCATCTTCGGAAAATTTATTTCATCTTTATGGTAAAATAAATTACATCCCTCATAAGTGAAAACCTCTCAAAACTGCATACTTTTTAAAAATTCCGACTGTGTTACCTCAAGAGAAACTTTACTGTACATGAAAACCAATAATAACCTTCATCCTATATTAAATGATCATTCGACAATAATTAAGTATCTTCTATTCAAATGCCTATATGGAACATGAGAAGAAGTTAAAATTTAAATAGCAAGTACAATTGTGTACATTCATTCGGATATAGTAGTATTGTACAATAAAGTGTGAATGAATTAATTGTGATTATGAATGAATAATTAGATGATGAAAATGTTGTCGAATGATTATATACGTTGTAGACAATGAGTGTACTTCGATAAGTAGAATAGATAAATTAATTTGATAAATATAATCAAACATAAAATTCCATCTAGAATATGATATTACATATGAAAGATTGGATACATTGACGAAAACGACCAATTCAACAATGTTGATTGCATGACTGACCCGAGGCAGCCAACATAAGGTAGAGGGAGGTTGTAAACATTCTTTTGCTAAGAGAACGCAAGGAAAATGTTCGGCTCCGCTGTGAAAAAAACATTAATCTCTCATGTTTGGAGGGTGTCATGCTCGCGGTCAAATCAGGTCTGGTTGATTGATTAACAGCGAGCAAGTCAGACTGTGTTATACACGTGCTAAAGTCCAATTCAAAAAAAAATAAGGCGAGTGAGTATTTTTCAAATAGCTTTTGATAGAAGCAAGATAGAGAGTTGCGGTTTTCATGGTTGGAAAGAGGAGATGACGATGCATCGAATCATATAATATAGGTTTTTCGAGTAAGCTTTCTAAAGTTTTTTTCATTTGTTTTCTAAAAAAAGTACCGAAAAATTGCTTTATCTTATAATGTACAATTCGATACGCCGTCATTACGTCTTTTCAACGGTGAAAACCGCAGATTTCTATCTTATTTCTATGAAAAGTTATTCGAAAAATACCCACCCATCTTCTTTTTTTCAAATGGGCATTAGTGCGTGTGATGAAAATCAACGATAAATGTTACATGAATATTAGGAAAACATTTCAAACAAGAAAGAGATGAAACTGATGGGAAGTTTCTGTTTTATTTTTTTTCTAATATAATTCAAACGATTAATGATAGATCATTTTATTGAAAAACTGCTAGAAGTTTTTGATTCTAAATAAGAACATGTTGTCAAGGAATAAGTCATACTCAACGGTTCTATTTAGACCATATTCTTAAGAAAAAACTTAGCGTTATCATATATGGTTGATCTAGTACTAGAAAGACCATATTAATTATGGATATTTGTGTTCTATATCACATCGAACAAGTTAAAGTATTGATTACTGTACTTGACAAATTCAATGTCATACAATTAATACTCATCAACAACTATGAAATGATACACTCAAGAGTGATTATTTAATTGTTTTTCTTTTTGAAATATTCTTGGAACCTAATCAGTCACTGAAGAAGATATTCATTTTAGATACATTCAATTTTGAACAAAAAAACCTATTAATTTCATTTGTGAATTGAAAACATTTCAATTAACTTGTGAATCGATGTACAAAAGAACATATTTTCTATACATTAGTTTCTATGAGTATGTGTTCAAACAAGCAGAGAGATCAAGCTATATGTAATTTCAAGATGATCCTTTAACTGTCTGATGTGAACTAGAGAAGTGCAAAACTAAGATTTCTGGTGTCCTGATCAAGAGAAAATTAATGTGATTTTTAAAGCATTTAGAAGAATTGTTATTGTATTTACATGGATATTTTAATGAAATAACTTCAGCATATGAAAATAAAACGAATTGTTAACCATATTTTCGTTATTAAATAGATAATTTTCATAATCAATGTAAGGCTCAATTGATTTTCATTCTTATAGAACAGTTTACACATCAAAGTCTTTTATTATCTTAATAATTTACGCATAGAAACATATTCTAGTTTTAAATTATTAATGATCAGCGTCAATTTTGATTAACTTAATTATTATTATTATCAAATAGAATTGTTTTCTGATATTTCCTATGCAAGGCAAATTCCACATGAATTGATGTTTACTCATTTGAAAATTAAAAATTTTCTTGATCGCAAGTCTATAATTATCATTTAAACGTTTTATAGTTGTCCTTGAAAAAAAATTTTTGTTGTGTTTTCAAAACAATTTCTCTTTTCTTTTCGTACTTGACTTTCATAAAAGAAAAAAAAATTCAAACTACGAACATTCAACTAATATCGAAGTATTATATTTCATTTTATCATAATTATACATTTCTAAATATAGACATAAAATAGTGATAACAATAAAAAACCAAAATTGAAAATAAGTCATAAGTTTTTTTTTCTTTTGATTCTATTAAATCTTTCAATCTGAGCGTCGAGATTCCGATCTATTATTGCACATTAATTATCTTTGCCGAATCGGATAATCAAGTTGATTTCGACAAAACTACGTCCAAATTTCATTTAGCCTTTCAATTATAAAATAATTCAATTATTAGATACATTAAAACTATTAGCAATAACAAAGTGCTTCTTAGAAATATATGCTTAGGTCATTCCAAACTTTCGAATCATGATCAGAATTTTCTATAATGTTGCTTGTTGTTTTTTTCGATAGAATTTGTCTTTTTCCTTATGTGAAAATAAAACACAAAAAAGCTCCCAAAAAAAAAAAAATTTCAAGAATACAAAAAGGCACTAAAAATGACAATGACAACAATAATGACAAAGCCCAAAAAAAAAGAATAGACTGAAGAGCAGTGTGAAGATGATGCACAAAAAGAGAAAGAGATAAAAGGAGTAAAGTGAAGAATTGCGAGACAATTAAATCCATCGATTGAAACGTAATGGATTCATGAAACGTTTAGTTGCTATGTTATTGTTTATATTCACCACCGGACTCGCTAATTGTTGATATTCAGGATGTACTCGAAAATTTTTAGTGCTTAATAAAGGATTAACAAACGGACGGCAAGATCAGCAATATTTAAATATGCTGAGAAAATAAGAGAATGAGAAAAGACGTCATTTTTCGTCACCAGTCAATGCTCTATTGGTGCGCGCAACAATAATATTAATTAAACGTTGAAAAGATTTTTGGCGATTATCCGTCCATTTGTCGCGTAAACCAAATTCCAGGGTATGATTAAGACCATCAACAATAGCCTATTAAAATTTAAAAGCAAAAAACAAATATTTTAAATTAAAATACCTCTATTACAAACATACTTGAATATGTTCAGGTTTAACTTCATAATTTTTATGTCGAATACCAATATCATGTAACATTTTGAAAATTTCTTCAGGTTTATCAACAACAGTAATAAGATCATCTAATGAATTAAAAAATTTTGAACCATGATTTCTTAAGTCTATTTTCCAGCGATTAGCTGTATTAGGAGCATCTGCATCATCACCAGCTGCTGTTGTTGTTGCATTGTTATTATTCAAGACACGGGGATTTTGCCAAAGTGATTTTATATCTGGACATTTTTGAAAGATCCTATTCGATAAAAGAAAAAAAAACCAAACAAATAAACAAATTATTTTTCTTCTCTTCTCATTTGAGTCATTAAACGATTAACCTTTTGTTTCTTTATTAAAAGATAATTTATTTTATATGCGAGTAAATGCGAATCAATTATAGCACAGAATGTGATCGTTTTCGTCTGTGTTTATAG